AACAAACACGTACACAGAGACGGGCGCCCTGTTACCGCTCTGGGCATCGGAGAGTCCACCGTGTCCCTGGGGACAGCACACTCAGGTCAAGCCAAGAGCCGCAGAGCTACTCTGGCTTCAACACACTGGAACGTACACGCTCACTGACTGCATGGCTGCTTCTACTTGCATGAACTCTGTGTGACTGTTGGTCCTTTACCTCCTCCTCCCTGCACGTCGCCAAACTCTAACACAACCCAAGGCCCCTGATTTATTTATATGCAGTACACATGGGATTATATAGTAGCAGTTCAATCAGCCCTCTTATACATTGTGATAACAGCATTAAACTAGCATGTCATGTGACCCAATCCCATTGGTCTAACGGTTCCTCTCACAGTGACAACCTGCTAACATTGCTTTACACACACACACACACACACACACACACACACACACACACACACACACACACACACACACACACACACACACACACACACACACACACACACACCTTACTTTCTGCCCTATCCAAACCAAAGATAATATTTTTGAATTATCTTTACATTTTTAGGGTTTTTCTTTCTTTTCTTCTGCAAATTCATGCCGTATGAATTTTACTGTAGAGAAACTGCTTGCATGAGAGAGGAAGCTGAGATTTGCTAGCATGGCACGGGGCTTTGTTGCAAAACCAACCAAACACACATACAGGAAAATCACCTTTCATTGAAATGCATCATGAAAAATGTGCTTCCAAACCGCACCACATATACATACATGTTGTCATTTTGTTCTATGTCCTAAATGAAGCTGCTAACTCTGTTCATTTGACTTGGAACAGTGTTAAATGTACGTTTTTTTAATTTAAGGAGTAAAGAAATGTCTATGTGTACAATAATTGCTTTTACAGTACAGTGAAAAATCGTGAAAACGTTTGCAATATCTCATGTTAATTGTATATAGCTTAAAAGCACTGAAACAGACCAAAACACACTGAAAACAGTTTTAAAAAGTGATTAATATAACCTCCTTTAAAGTAGGTTTTTGAGTTTTATTGCACGGCTGTTGTATCATTTATTTTGGTATATATTGTGTCCACTGCTCCATGCTAGCTCTTCACTAATATAAATCATATTGTTGAAAATAATCTATTGAGTTGAGAAGGTGTTCTTTAGCATGGTTTAATTTGTTGAAGTGTTAGCATGTTGCACTTGAGCATGAGGACAAGTGTATTCCTGATTAATCTCTAAAAAAAGACATTGACATTTGAGAGATAGCCCTCCTCCCAGGATGTATCATCTCAGGCTAATCTCACCTGCAGCCTTGTGTTTGCACGTCTCACAGACATGTTTCCATCGCAGTGAAGTGCTGTTACATATACCTTGTGTTTGGAGAAGAGTTATACAGAACTGAGGTTAGGTCCGACAGTAAGCCTCGTAAATCTGTCATCCGGGGTAACGCGAGCTCACACTGGGGGTCAACAAGAGCAGAAAACGCCGGAAGCGGGGTGGCGGCGTGCTGCCTGTATGAGAGGAGGGGGGAGAGGGAAGAGCGGGAGACTGGGGGAATAAGGGGGATGGGACTGTACCTGTTATAGGGAGAATGTGATACAGACACACACTTCTTCCCTGCGGCTGTTGGCACGTCGCCAGCTGCTTCCAGAAGTTTCTCTCAGATCAGACGGGTCGGAGTCTTTAATTTTGTTTTTGCTTTCCAGCCAACATCCAAACCAAACCTGGAATATATTCAATTAGCTATGAGTATTGAATTACACACTATGTATGCATCTGTGGTTGATCAGAATCAGTGTTATTGCCAAGTAGGTTTACACATACAGTAAGGGAACACTAAGGAATTTGCTTGGGTGTAAAATGATGCCTACATAAACACAATAAGATAAATTCATATAAGAAGTACAACATTTAAAATAAAACAAACTATAGATGTACAAAAAAGAAGGTACAATAGTAATATGACAACTTACTCTGAGATTCAAACACATTTACTTATTATACAGTAGATGGCTGTTTCTGTTGCATATCAATCACCCACTTTATTGACAATTTGATGCATGTTTTCGTCTGTGTTGGAGCCCCTTAATGTTTTGTAATTATGTTTAAATTATTAGTCGTCTCGATTTGGGCTTCCAGCGACACTGTACTTCCCCTCTCTCTGCCTCCTCTTAATCTCCTCCTCTTCTTTCCCACTTTCCTCCCCTCTTTTTGTATCTGTCTTCATCCACACAGGGAGGAATCTGGTCAGAAGCCCAGTGTCTCTTCAGGAACAGCTAAAGGGTTAGCACACACAGATCTGGACGGACCTCTGTTCCACAGAAAGGGCACCAAGGGAGATGGTGGGTCATCACACCTCTTTATCCAGTTACAGAATGAGGTCAAAGCGTCAATTTTATAAATAAAGGTTCATCTTTGCCCTTCTCTTGTTGTCTCTGCAGACTCGGACTCAGACAGCGAACTGTCAGGCGACGAACACAGCTCCTCCTACGCCTCCTCCCACTCCTCCGACAGCGAGGAGGATGACATTGACGTCAAGCCCAAGTGGAACAACGAGAGGCAGCCCGTTCACAGCACGCCAAAAGGTGCAGGTCCTGGTAAGCCTCAACATGAGATACAATGTCTAAGTTTTATGCTTGAGTACAACATTAAGTCACGTTTATAGTATATAGGAAAACATTTGAATCCAAGCAATATTTATGTTTTCAGATGCACATTATGGACAAAATATATGAAGAATTTATAAAAGATTATGAATGCTATAAATTAAACTCATCACAGTATATGTAGTAGTTTAAATTTGCACATAAATGCCACCGTAAAATAACTATATAGTAGTATAACACTGACTTGGGCAATTTTTTTTGAATTATGAGGACTTTAATTGCTACCTTTTTAGCGCAGATATTCAATTAGTAAAGTATGAGTAGTTCCTCACTGCCAGGATTTGATGTTGAGTACAATTTCAAACCTTTGGCAACTGTCATTTTAGCAAATGCTCAGGCTGACTGGATTTTAGCTTTAACATTTCTGCTTCCCCATCAGTGGAATCAGTATCCAATCACGTGAAGCCTTACTGGCCGGCAGACGCCACCACAGCCAGTGACAGTGAGGACCCCGGGGCAAACAGGCTGAGGGTGGAGACCAAGGTGAACGTGGAGCTGCATCAGGAGAATAAGCTCAACCACACCGGGGAGAGAGAGAGGGAAACTCCTGCTGAGAACGCCCGGGATGCAGCGCCCGCTAGCACACCACACGGCAACAGCAACCACCACCCGGAGCAGAGGAAAGGTAAGGCTACGTTTTTTTTAAAATGGAGTTTAATTGGTTAATGTGATTTACTTTGTAACAACTCTTTGTCCTGTGTCAGGTATCTTAAAGAACAAGATCAGCTACCCTCCGCCGCTGACCGACAAGAACATGAAGAACCGTCTGAGGGAGAAGCTGAGCGACTACAACACCCCCACCATCACCTCCTCTCCCCCCAACAACAACCACACCTCTTCCCCGGCTCTCTCCTCCGTCAACATCATGACCCCCTCGTCCCGCCCGCCCTCGCTGGCCTCCAACGACGGCTCTCGCCCCGGGAACCACGACAACGGCTCCATCGTCAAGCCGCCCGTCGCCCCGCGGCCACAGATCAGTGCCGGGCCCCCGCCCCCCGCCATCTACCGGGAGACCAACGGGGGGGTAGCAATGCACTTGAAGTCAGGGACGGTGAATGGAGACAACGAGTCTGATTCAGAGTGAGTAGCTGTTGGCATGTAACAATGACCTTTAGTTTTTTAGTAGAGCATATGAATGCTGCTTCCTCGTCATTTCATAATGTAATTTGAATCTCTTTTGAAAGGATTTAAAATCAATTTGATGCTATATAAACGGTTTGAAAAGATTGTTGAATAACATCGGTTGAGCATTACATCAACTAAATCAATATGCATGTATCATAAAAGGATCCATAGTTAAAGGAATAGTTTGACATTCTAGAAAGTAAACTTTTTTTCTTAGCTAATCCAAAACAGCTAGCTTGGCTCTGCTTGTTTTACTTATTTAGTATGGCATAAACAAATACATATTTTGTATTAAGTAAATAAGATATTATGTGTTAGTGAGTAAGCCTTAGAGGTGCTGACAGGTGGATTCTGTTAGCTTTAGCAAAAGCTATTCTGACTATTTAAGTCAGTTGCATCATTTTTAGTGTATAGGCTTAAAGGTGGTAATGGGTTATTCTCGGCGAGAAAGCAAACTATCCTATTTCAAATGTCAAACTATTACTTCAATTATAGCATGAATGATATGACCATCCTGCTTGAATGCTGCATGATGACTTCCTGCATCCCTGCATTCATGTTTACCATGCATGTTCCTTTCCTTCCCCGCATCACCCCGTCCCTCCCTCCCTCCCTCCCTCCATATCTCCTGCTAACAGTGGCAGTAACGAGACTTCGATCTGACCTGTTAGGAAAACCCAGACCAGCCTGCCCTTGTGAGAGGAGGAGCAAAGACCTGCTGGGAGAGGAGAGGACAGAGCCAAGAGGATGGGAACAAAATAAAAGAAAAGTGAAGACGGACAGATGCTGAGAATTGGGTGAAAAGGGGGGAACGTTTTCTCCGTACCTGAATCCCTTCTCAAGTTCCCTCTCCCTGGAGAGCAGTATTAATTGAAGACTTTAACACTGCCCAAGGCAGGAAAGAAAGCAGAGATAATGAAAAGGTGTGAGAAATAATAAAGGGAATGATGGACTGTACAAAGAGAGGATGCTGTGGAGCCATGTGTGCCAAAACCACTGTCGAAGAATCAGAAGATGAAGCCCCAAAAGGATGTTCCTCCATGGTGGTCATGTCGCCCGATCAATGGGCAAAGTTAGCAAAGGGCAGATAAATAATCACTACATGAACTAAGACTTAAATACATGCTGGTGCATTTGTAGTCCTAAAGGATTCTAAGGACTACAAGTCCCTTGAAATGTCAGACATCAAACCTGACACCTAATTTCACTGACTGTCAGAAACATTCGACGATGACACCAGACAGCGCTGTCACACACCAAGTGCTCTTTTTATTGTTTGTTTGTTTTTTTACTCAAATGAGGCTTTCATAGCCTCTCAATGCCGTGCATTTAGACTGTAATTAACATGTAGATATTGTTTAAGGTGAAGAAGAAATGATCTATTTTGTATTTCAGCTGTAGCGAAGATACGTTTCTTTACTAAAAAATCATTTTGGGAAAGCTTTCCACTTGTGAAAATCACTCGATATGCTGGTTAAATCAACAGAGAATGTCCCTGAATTAAGGCCTTACACAAACAAACTGTATGCCACTTTCACAAAAACACACACATTATGGACAGAAGGTGTTATGTTTGGATGTGAAAGTGAGCTAGAATGTACGTGCACACAGTGGGCCTAAATGAACAAATTATGTACAATTGAGAGGACTTCCCCCTCCTGTTGAAAAGTCAGCTTTTCATTTCGAGCACTATGAAACTGAAGCCTTCTTTTCCAGTGTCCATCCTGCCTGTTTGTTCACAGAAACACACTCCTGGTTACCAAAAACATGACCTACAGTAGATGTGCACATTAGGGTTGGAGTCAGTTTCACTTTTAACTCACAAATTTGTATTTGATGGAATAAAAACATGGCATATGACTAGAATAAAAAAATCTACCACATAACCCTTTTCAAACACTCGTTGATGGATTTCTTTTTTTAAATTCAGTTTTTTTAAGCCAAACATGACATAGACAAAGTCAGATTTTCTCAATCTGAGTTCAAAGTGAAAATGATGCCAGCTCTATGCATTTCGATTCTAGTATTAGGCAACTTAAAGTCTTGTTTACCACCCACTGAATGCCTTTGTACCACATGTACAACCCCAGTGTTTATCCCTCCTGTAATCAGTTCTGTTGATACATGTCCTTGTTTTTTTTATAGATCCAAGACACTGGAAATGTTTTGTATCATAATGTATATTTATTTTTTATGGTTTCAAGACACTGGAAAGAAAACATGATTGTGACTGTAAAATTAAAGACCTGATGATGAATTTTTAACCGTATTGTGCAGCCTATTACATGTCTGTTGCCGGAAGGAAGCTTGGCTGGTCGAAACATGAACACTACTCAAGGTATATGAGGTAACCTTTTGGATCCAAAAAGTGATGAGTAACAGAAAGTGTTACTGCTGAACACCCAACTGTTCCCATTGACATCACAAAAGATCACTGATAATTATTTGTTAACCATTCAACAACCTATATCTAAATGTCTCCTTTCTAGCTCTATTACAAATACAATGATATTTAATGTACATCAGCTACTTTAATTCAGAAATGTAGTTTAAAAACCCCAAAAACCTTGTTTTTATTTTTAACAGTGAGTGATTGGATCAAACTTAAACATATAATTAATTGTTTTAGATTTTCACAGGAGATATTTCAGTATTGATTGTGTTTATCTCATTGTTTGAAGGGGGAGAGGCTCAATTGAAAAATCATGATGTGATGTACTTCGGTGCACCAATCAGAATTGATCAATTTTTGAATCGTTACTGATGACAGTTGGGCTGTAGTGTGATTGGCTGAGTTTTTGACTGGTACAAAATGATTATCAGGACCAATGTAATACTTGAAACCATGTTTTAGGTGCTTTAATGCTCTATGTATCAGGATAAAGTCCTATTTTTATATCAAGAGATAATTAACATTGTGGATAAGATAGAAGGATGGAGGGAGACATAAATATATAGCCTACGTTTGAAATAAATCCAACATAGACAACTGATTTTAAACAGAGGTGCACCCTGAAGTGCAGTCTGCGTACGCTATGGAGACATTGTCCTTATAAGGTAATGTATTTCTTACTGTCTCATACTGTCCTGTGCCCAGTGATCCTGCTGACTTTCAGAAAGCAGTTTGGGTGTGTGGAAGTTGAACCTGAAACATCAAAAGCACGTGTTGGTTGGTGTGGGTGTATCTGTCTGAGTTACTGTTAATCCTTATAGAACAATGGTGGCAGCCGGTCTTAATAAAAGTCCTTACTTTGATCCAAAACCTCTCACACGCATCAGCATTACTGAGTAACTTTTAGTGTGAGCTTTGTGCACATACAACTGTCTATAAATCACATTTAGTAGCCCCCATGCAGCCTAAAACTGAATGTATGCATGCTATGGCTATTTGTATATCAATATGACCTTTTATATGCAAATAGTATTTAGCCCAAGCCAATTCGTTTTTATGTAGAAAGTGTTACAATCAACAAACTAACAAGCTTTTTAACTACAATTATGAAAATCCTATGTTGGAATGCTTTTAAGTTATTCACATTAATAACTTTAACTTTAGCAATTGTTTGACATTTTGGGAAGTTATTTTAGCATGAAGACTTGGAAAAGGAGGAAACAAATAGCCTGGGAAGCAAGCAACCACAGGGAACTATGTGGAGGCCAAGAGGTATCAAACATTACCCTTAGTTAAATGTCAAGTTTTTTTTTCAAACACTTATTTTTGCACATATTAAAGAAACTAGATACAATGGTTTACTTAGTAAGCTTTACATGTAGCCTGACTTTGGACAGAACAAGGCCACTGTAGCTGCTACCCCTGTTTAAAGTCTTTAAGCTAAGCTAAGCTAACCAGCTGCTGGCTAAAGCTTTAAGAAAGACGTGTATTTTCCAAAATATCAAGCTTCTTACTGCTTTAACATTGGATAAAACAATAACTGTAAGGGCCTACAGTTGCTTCAACAAAAGTTTCTTATTAAAATGGATTAGGTTTCTACATTGTGCTACTACACATATCTTCCTTTAACCTGCCACTAAGATACTATGTTGCCCTTTATGATTGACCATTCACTGCTAAACCCCACACTGAACTTTTCCATTGCATTATTTACATTTTTTCCACAGCTCAGCCCACTTTAAGACCTGCCACTTTGCTGCGGCATACCAAGATAAGCCTGCTAGTCGCAGCGCTTAACTTTTATGATTGTGGGAATTTGTCTCTAGCCACATGTAATTGTGTTGGATCAAAGAGCTGGAGTAGAGGTAAATGGCTGCAGAAGTCAGAGAGCACCATAATTTCTCCTTTTGCTTAAACCGTTGACAGATGTAACCTAGTAACATCACTACAAGGTGTAGTACAAATAAGAAAGGTGTATCTCATGTCAATTATGTCGTTTTTGCAGCGTTAGATGCCATGTCAGGGCTTGGAAATGGCATCTATGCCAAGTCCATCACAACTACATACACCCTGGTGCCACTGGGTATTGCCAAGTCAATTATTGTCAGCAGGTAGAGTGAAAGGTAAGATGGGAGGGTCAGGTTTCACAAGCCTATTTTAGTTTGTTGTTATGGCAACTGAAGCCAGACACCTCCTCAGGTGACATCAGGTACAATAATGAAGCATGGATCCGGAGCAGAGGGAGCTGCTGGCCTTCACAATCATGACACATGTACATGTACAACAGCAGCAACTCTTATCATTTGGTCTATATATTTAAATGGGAAAAACAACCTTCAAATTGAAACTTGAGAAGTTGGTTGGTCTATCAGCGTGGCCCTGTGCCCTCGTCTTTATCTCAGTCCTAACACAGCCAGGCAAACTAAATAATTCAGACCCATGAGGGCCATGGTTGGCACCCTAAATAAACTATTGTGCTAAATGAGATCACACAGGGGGAAGAGAAACACTGAGCCAATTGTGCCATCTACTGGTAAAGAATGGAAAGCCACATATAGACTTATTTTAGATGAGTGTGTTCTTGTACCTCTATACTTGTGACCATAGGTATTAAAAGAATAAAAAGATGAGAGAAATCCCTTAAAGTGAGTTTATTCATTTTACAAACAAATAGCTGAATTCAAAAGCAACAAAATGCACGAATGTTAAATTGAATAATCAAGGGAGGTTTTCCTTCTACAACCATATTTCTTCTGATATGATCAAATACAATAAAAATCCATACTACAGTGTTGGGTAAGGGGATTTAATTGTGGTGAAAGTCAAATTTGGGATTGATTATAGGAATAAGCAGCACTGACATACACCTTGGATCAGTATAGTGTCAAATGATAGGATGAGGTCAATAAAAGGTCCTCAGAAATATAGCAAATCAAACACTATGTCAAGTTATAGCATTACAAATGAATACAATGTGGACAGTTCTGTCAATTCAGTTCCAAATAACTCAATCTACTGCATAAGAGAGGTAATTATAGAGCATGTTTCTATAAAAAAAACATTTGAATAAGCCGTCTGGAATCATAGCTAATCATGTGTAAAAATAATAACCCGTCAGTGAATAATCCACCATCTTTTCCAAATGCGTTTTGCATCAGCAGCTCATCCTCCATCCTCCCCCTCATCCCAACTGTTCTATAATTTACTCTGGATGTTCCGTCAGTTGCATAAGACCCACGTGATTGTGCAGCCCTCTAGAAAATACCAATTTGGGATTAAGGGTTTATTACGGAATTTCTAATTTAATGCCGGGGGAGGATTTGGGAAATCTCTACAGTGGTACTTTTGCTGAAAGACATCAGAAGAAGGTTGCAAACAGAAACAAATCAATCGTGTGTGTATGTAAATGTGGACATGTGTGAGTGTGTCGAGATTAGTTTAGGGGATTCCCATCGAGGCCTGTTGTTTGCTGCACAATCTCTGAAGATAAAAACCCTAAGTGATATCCCAAATAAGCTTATCGTTTTTACAGATAGAGATCCAATGATATGTTATCGCAAGCCTACAATGGAATGCTTTTTAATGACGCAACTCTACCAGGAAATGTAATTTGCGCTAATGTGAAATAAAAGCCAAGTAATCTAATATGGGTGCCTATAATACCCGTTGGAGTTACTCTGTGCTTTGAATATCATCTGATCTGATGCAAAATACTTCTCTATTGGACATTTCTCAAGACTTTAGACATCTATTTTCTGTCCTTCAAAGGTCTGCAGAATGTCTGAACTGTAGATGGAGAGTCTTCTCCGTCAGTGCCTCAGACATTTGCCTAGGCAAATTTGTTCAGGCAAGCTAAATGTGAAATTTGGTCTTCAGTAAAAGCTAAAGCGACACAAACATGGAATTTTCATTTACAGAAGCTGCAACTGGGAGACGGTGAGACACAACTATGACTTTTTCTAACCTTTTTTTAAATGTGAAAAAGGACTTGAACTTGGAAAGTCTGATCCACTTTTGTGCTTGAATTCTTATGTAGGCTGCTCACAGAAAGTGTGAGGAGAACTGGAAAGTGGCAACACGGTAGCCGAAGGACAATCAGGCCAAAGCTCTAGTGAGACTACACCGATTCTCATTGGCCTCATTGTTAGTCTGACTGCAGACATCGAGAGTTCTTGTGATTACTTCCCTCTAATCTACAGTCTCATCTCAGAGGTCAGAAGTCAGTTTACTCCTGTTTCTCTCTATATCTCACTTTCTACCCATTACGCTCTTTGGTCCTTCAAAACCCTCCTCTTCTGTGACCATCAGATCCAAAATTCATTTGCACCATAAGTGCAGGGACGGGAGCATTGTCAAGACTGCTTCACAACTCAGAACCACAATTGCTGAAATAGAGGGATAACTGGGAAAGCGATCACATGCCGAAGACAAGAAGACTCTCACAGATGGACAAAACAAACATGAGAAGGTTGGTGTTTCAAGACTGTGAAGTTTCTGGTTCTGAATTGTATTGTGTTGGATGTGTGGAAAATGTGCAAGAAAAAAATGCTGCTAAAGTTTACATTCATCTTTGATGAACTTACTTAAACTCATTGACCTCAGTAGGCTTCTCAAGAGAGCAAACCCAGAGCACCATGAAGAGAGAGGAATCCACCTTTAAACCTAATTAATTTGATGCATTTATTAAGACAAACATACATTGATTTTTATGTTAAGTTATGGTAATTGTTCATAGTAAGCAGTGCAAATGATTGCTATTGTAAAACATTAAATATCTTGTACAAAAAAGAAACATAGGTCCTACATTATATAATATTATTATGTGATACAATTGTACAATATTTGAGGGGCATTCGGTCAGTAGGTTTTTATTCTGGGAACTTTGATGGTTTAGTGTAGCAACTGATTGGCAGTTTTTATAACATCCTTTAACAATAACACATTGTACTCTAACATCAGTTTACCCAGTACTTCCCCACGAGAATTGTTGTCATGGAATGGATCTTGAAACATAAATTGCCGATATGTTAGTGAAAAGTAGCTAAACTTAATTTTACTGGTCTGTACTTTTCCTTTGATGTCTCCTTAAATTATTTATTTAATTTGGACAGAGAACGTTGATATATTTTAGTAAGAGCTTAGATATTTGTGTTAATAATATGCGAAAGATGTGAAAACCCACTTGGCAATTATACCTTATTATTATTCTGATATTAAAGAATAACTGAACAGAATATATTTAACTACGAATAATCCTAACAATTTGACATTTTAAATGTTTATTTACACCATAGACTGATTTACACCCATGAGGCATTTTAACATAGTATATTCAAAAGAAACCCAGAGCACCATAATAATAAGAAAATAATATGAATTGTCTTCTGTGTCACTTTGCACTATGCTTAATGACATTATACTGACGCCATTGTTTACCCACGTGTTTTTATAATGTAACAGTGTGAAAGTGGCAGCCACAAGGCGGTGGTAAGAGGCGGGTTTATCTCCTCTGTCTCCGAAGCATCTCTCCACGCTAACGGCCCCTTTAAGAAAGCAGCATCGAACACTGACGAAATTTCCTCGGCCCTGCTCCATGGCTCCCTGCCCGTTTCTGAGAAATCAACAAGAGACGAAGGCAGCAAGCTAGTATCTGTAAGCTCTGGGCAAAACGGTGCTAGTCACGGCAGCTCTCTCCAGTCAGGAGGGGGACGCAACTGGTTATTTTCTTTCACAGTATTTCCCCTGCCAACACTCAGCAGGACACGACGTTTAGTCGGTGGACGGAGATACAAGCGGATATTATCGGGATGGATGGACCGAGTGAGCAGCTTTTCACCGTGGGACTTGCGCTAATGTAGACGTCCTGAGCAGCAGGTGTACTGAAGGATAAAACAGACTAAAGGCAATCTCAGTGTTCATGAAACTTTGCTACGATTTACGTGCTGGGTAAGAATGTTTCGCTTATTTTCAAACGTTTAATGTAAGAAGAAATGTTGTTGTTTTATGTCAACCGCCTGTCTGACTGTTTTGTTGGGTCAGCCAAAATGCGGATTATTTGGCTCTAATGTTGTGTATGTTTCAGATATGAGAAAATGTCCGACCATTTTAGGTTTTATTTAGACAGTTTTCTCTAGGCCTAACGTTAGCTGACTTCAAACTCTAGCGTTTAATTCAGTCGTTGAGTCCATTGCTAACAAATATAACGGTCACACATTTGAATTCAACAGTGCAGTTTGGCCTAGCTGACGTCAAACTGTACAATCTTTGGAGGGAGTCCTGAACATCACAGTCTAACGGTCGTCCCCTTTAAATCACATTTTAAATATAACTATTTATAAAACATGTGTTTTGCTGGTTTTTACTGGTTGTGTTTTTTGTTGGTTTTTCTTAGCTTTAAAAAACCCGTAATATCCATATCACTAGAGGTGGGAGAAGCACTCGGGTCGTGTACTCAAGTAAAAGTACAAAAGTATTAGCATACAAATAAGTATCCAAATTTGTCCATTTCAGAATAATCCTTATTATAGGTTTTGATTATAATTATTGATTCATGAATGTGTTTATCAAAGCTGGTAAAGGTGCAGCTAGTTTTAATAACTTTGTATACTGCAGGATAGCTTGTGAATTTACTCCAGGTGTAACTAAAGACTTATTTAAGAGTTGATTGTATTTCAAATCATTGATCCAAATCTGTGAAGTTTACCTCTGAATTGTAGTGGAGTAAAAGTACAAAGTAGAATAAAAGGAAAACCTTCAAGTAAAGTACAAGTATCCCAAAATTGTACTTAAGTACAGTAGTGGGGAAAATGCACTTAGTGACTTCCCACCTGCATATCACTGAGTATTATCTAGCCTGGCTACAGTTTTTTAGAAGTTATTGGTTGAGTGTTTTCATTAATGTTCGTACGTAACACAATGAAGTTGCAGACTTTAAACTGGAACAGAAATCTTAATTAAACATTTTTACCTAGTTTGACATTGTGGTCAAAGTTACATAATCTATCTGTAAGTGCATGTATATATTAACCTTGGGATGGTGTGTTCACTGACAGTAGGAAGCTCTGACATCTATGTGACAGTGCTGTTTAGAAGGTGCTGTCAAACCTAAATTAATTACCGATTCATTTCAATGGGGAAGTAGGGACTAACATTTGTTTCCTACCCTTATTTGACCCCGCCTAACGTGAGTTCAAATCTGGTGACACTGTCCCCATTGTCCATCTAATTTGAGAGAAGGGAAGATTGACATGTTGTTAAGGAAGTATTGATTGTTTATACCACTCATTATATAACCGCATGGTGAAATACGAGAAGTAGAGGAGGAGGGGTGCTGCATCGAAGGCAATGAGTGCAATGACAGGTTGAGGGTAACACTTTTTTTAATTTTTTTTAAATCATGTCTATTGTAGCTAAAATGTTCCACTGCAATTCTGGTCTGACTATGTTCCTGATGCACGAGGCCACTATATTTATATATCCTGTTCAAAACACTCATGCTAGTTGTCTGTGTAAAAAAGTGAATCAGCAGGAGAATCCTTATAACACAGCTTACATGTATTACTTTCTGGGGGAAAAACTACAATTGTTTTGTCCACATTTGGATATGTTATGACAAAATCAATGCCAAACATATCATGCACCGGACTGAAAACACAATTAAACATTCAAAAGCTGCACTGACATAAAATAACCTGCATATGAGGTCGGCTTTGAAAAATGCATGCCATGCTACACGTTGCCCAGGGGTTTTCATTAGTACTTTAGATAAAAGCAAGTGCATTCTTCTCGTTCCGTCTGTATCTTTGTTGTATCAAGATTTGGTGACTGGAGCTCTACCAAACCCCTGTTTAGCCTCTGACTACAAACGGAGCAGAATGTGTCTAATAGGTGTAATTAAATTTGATCATATCTGCAGTCCCCTCTTTTCCTCCCACTCTATCCCCAGGGATGACATCAAATTAAAATGAGGCTTTGTGAAAACATTTACAAAAAGCAATATAAACAATATGGTTTAAAGTGGTAGAATTGTTGCCTGTAGGCTGATTAGAAAATATCTATGTTTCCCTTATGAGCTACACATGCTTTTTTTTAAAAACTTTTTTTTATTGTTATATCATAACTTAGTACTTTTTTTTAACATATGTAACATTAAGCTGTCTGTGGCTCTTTACTGTTCTAACGATGCAAAAGTCCCCTCTGTGGGACTAATACAGGTATTCTGATTCTGAAGCTAGAACTTGGATTATTCTGGTTAAAATGGGACATCTACATGTAGAATAAAGCTGATTCCTCTTTGTCTTAAAAAAGTTGTGCAGGACTCAGACTGAGTCCTAAAACCCTGAAAAGAGTTAGCATTGTACTAAACAAATGGTGTTAATATGTTGAGTTACTCCTGCTTAACAAAACGTAAAATAATCATAAAGGCTTGCTTGCCTCCGAACATTTCTTTTTGGTATCCATGAGTGACTGTGATTGGCTGTTGCTTTAGTACAAAATCCAATGGAAAACCCCATTGACTATTTGTCGAGGGAGACCTTTGGATGCTAATTTCCTTGTCAGCCTACAGAAGTAGGTCATCCATGTACCATTTTATGGCTCGTGAAAAGTGTTGAAATTGAGACTACAGGTGAGCCTTTTGCCGTACTGAGCCTTATTGCAGAAACCAAGCAGCATTGATGATGACTACAGGATGGCCTTACATGGTTTTATGCAGCTCAGCCACCAAAACAGAAACACTTCTCTGTAGCATTTCCAGCTAACAAGAACTTACTGTCAAACTTTCTCTTGTTGGAAAACAAAACCTGACTGCCCCTAATGTCCCAGAACAGACAGTAAGTGGCCTACTTGTGCGAGTCCTCCAGCCTGTATTGTGCTCAACAGTATGTGGTTGTTTAAGTGATTCCACCCCCCCCACTCTTTCATGCATGCTTGATAGGCCGACAGCCATAAAAGATCTACTCATGTGGCTATACCACACCACTATCCTCTTATAGATGCAGATAGCCAGGGGGCGGGTCGTGTACCATACACCTGATGGCTATCTAAGTAAGATGAGTGTATTTGTGAACAGCTGAGAAGATTACTGGCCTATCATACCGTGTACAAAACAAATTGATGTCAGATGAAAGTAGCCATGACCTGTTGCTATTTCATAAAAGAAGGTCATGCATGTTATAGCACTCATAAATATGCATTTCTGTTTTATGGTTCATATCCAAATATACTTGTGATATTGTAGTGAAACATAAGGCTGCTCGGCTAAAATAAGAATACATTTGACAGATAATATGACCTAGAGCTAACATAAATAGTCAAAAAGACTAAGTATTTTAAAGCATATTTGAAAATATCCTGGTTCCAGTTTCTAAAATGGGAATACTCTTGTCTTTTTGTTATGGTAAACTAACTATCTTAGCATTTTGGGCTGTTGGTTGATGAATCTATTTGCTGATTGACCGAAGGATTAATCACTCGCTAAAGCAGTAATGAGCAGAGGGCATCCTAAAGCCTGATATCCATGAGTGACTGTGATTGGCTGATGGCTCTGAATGTGACCAAGAGTAACCTCGAGCTACTACGGGTCACTAGCAGAAGATTACTCAGACGGACAAAAGCATACGCAAGCACTCCCAGAAGCCGTCTATATTCTACAGCTAACACACACCGGGATTATGAAGATACTCACCCTTAGCTAATGTACTACGCAGTAATAAACACCATCTCTGCACTCTGCGTGTGTGTAGCTATGTTTTTTATTTTGTTTTATCCCTCCGGGTTGTTGTGTCTTATTATGGCACCAGTGACAGTGTGTTAGCAATGTTTTATGATAACAGTGGATGGAGTTGTCCTTGTGCTTGTACATAACCGAGCATAATAGGACGCTTTTTGTGTATTCCCTTGCGCAACATTCACATAGTGATCAGGCCTTGAGATGCATCCCCCCCCCCTTTCTCCTCCTCCTCCTGTCCTCTCTTTTTCATCCTTTCATTTTCCTTTTGAAAATGTTGTGTATGGACTGGAGAAAGAAAAAAACTTAAAAAATAAATAAATATAAGAAAGGTAGCCTAGAGAACACTGAAAATGAAATGAAAAGAGGCGAGGGTTGGCATGTAATGTACTTTTAAATAACAGCTTAGTTCATATGAATTATGACTGACTGTGGTTCATAAATAATACAGCTTTCTTTCGGACTGAATAGAGCGTGATTTGTTTATTGCAGTTATTAATCGAACTCTGAATGAAAATGTCAAAGTGTTCGACGTTTTTCCGATCGGTAAATGTGTTTTTGATGCTTTCATTAGTCGCTATTGTTCTGGGTAGATTTTTCTGCTGGATAACCGCGGGTGGCTCGTTGCTCACTGAGCTGCAGCAGCAAGGCTGGTTCAGGTGCTTGTTGTGAGAACAGATTTCATTATGACAGGTGTCTTGACAAGAGAAGGGGAGGGTTTATCGAAGCTGCCACTCACCATGTTTCCACTCAGCCCTCAAGGAGGAAAGGTCAAATCACCTCTGCAATTTCCACTTATGTGTCCCCATGTGGGTGGGTTATCAACATGTGGAAATAAAATGTGGTCTCTCTTTTTCTCGTCTCAGTCCCTCCTACACAGATAATGTGAAGTTTTGTGTGGATAAAAAAAGTACAAAAGTTACTGACTGTAGGGCTGCGTCATTACAACAAAATAGTCCTAATTGAGCTGATATTGTAATTGCAATATTATAGGGAATGACCACTTTTGAAAAATTATTTACATTAACATTAAGAAATATAATATAAATGATGAACTGTGCCAAACACAGGTTTTGTATTTAGTTTGTAGAATAGTGTATGCAGGCCAGGACTTCTCTACAGAACCATATTCAAATAATATCTTTACATATTTTGCTTTTTTCAAATATTGCTCACTGTGATTTGGATATTGCACCATATCGCGACTTACGAACTTTTTTAAATCTATAAATTAAAAATCATTTCATTATTGACCCTCATGGCAAAAACTCAATGTTGAATTTAGCTCTAGTGTATTCTTTCTCTGCTTGTAAATTCATCATCTAATAATCCAGGAAGTTATCAGAATAAAGTGTTACAATTATTTAGTAGCCTGATCCCAAGATCATTGGAGATGGAGAGATTAAGCTTTTTTTAGGACTGTTCTAAGATTTTTGGAAATTGGTCATGTTAGTGTGCAGTCAAACAAGCCTTTTTTATACAGGCAGATACATAACCAACTGTAGTAAAACGTCACTAGGAAGTTACGCATCGTCCTTCCTGATTGGGGACTGCATTTATATCCTTAAAGAATCGAGGGGGCAAGGGTTGATTTTTAAACGGGCTTTGGGATGTACCCTTTGTGTTCATATGAGATGAAAGTGACTGGTGTGATGCCTCCCTTATGTTTCAATCAATCAGAAAAGATCTCAGACAATATACATTTTTGTAGTTTGACAGCCAGTCAAGCAGATTAAGTAATCTGAGGGATTAAACCAAGGAGAGCGACCCTTAATCCTTTCCCAAATGACAAATCACAGCAGTCAAAAATCGACATGTTCACGTTGCCTGCACATTGTGTAGCTTAGCTTCTGAAAAGGCAGGCGGATTGTTTTGACAATGTGGTGACATACTGCGGTCGGCCATATTTATGCTACAGCCTCCTTGTATAGGAGTACTACAGGCCCAGGGGAATCTCACTGTTGTTTCATTCAGTCAGCATTTCTTATTAAAGAAAGCTTTTAATGGGGTTGTTGGCTATTAGGCAACAATCTTGGGTGCATTCAGAGTTTAATAGGCCAATACGACATTTGTGATCCAGTGGCAGTGTTTGCTTGTAGATGCCGTAACAGTTTGGCACCTGTTCTGGTCTAAAAATGGCTCCTATATGGATGCTTATCGCACATTTGTACTGGTTCAATACTGACTTTAATGAGCATTAAAGAGGTCATCAATCCTATTTTTACATTGTTTCTATCAGTGAGAACTACTCCTAATGCCGTCTGCATGTTGCAAACAATTCAGTAGCTTAACTCCTGTGATACGGGATGACAGAAAACAGCACCCCTGCTATATCTGTCACCATTAGCTCAGCGCTTGATACCAAAACACAAGCTCTAAGCCTTTTACCACCTCGCACATCCACTGCCACCGCTCCTGCTATGGAAATGAAATCAATACAAGAGGTGATGAGATGTGCTGCTGTCAACTGTTTGCCACAGGAGTGAAAGGATGTGGTCTTCATTTCTCTAACAGGGTTACTGGTTCCTTCTTCCTGTGTAGGCCAAAGGGGAAAGCACAATCCCTGACAAGGTTAGCGCTTCAATGGCTTCAGGGGTTATGTCATTATGTTACCTTGAGGAAGGTTTACAGAGGGGGAAAAAGCTGGATTAAAATGGATGGATTAGGTGGAATATTGGACTGAGTAGGGAGTTTACAGTGCTCAGAGCGCAAAATAAAATACCAATAAGTCTTTGACCTCATCAGAGGTCACTGTTTCATGAAGTCACAGTTTGTTTTGTGGAAGTCACTGTCTAAAGCGATCCGTTTGAAGAGGTGGAATTAAGTGTTCAAACTGAGCATCGAATAAACATGATGACAGTTATTTAAGTTTATTTTTACTTTTGGGTTGTTGGATCGGTTGGTCCATCACTGTTTTTCAGACAACATTCTGGTGACATTTTAATGCTCTATGGTAATTTCCATATTATGTCACCTTCATCAAATGTGCATTTCACGATTATGTCCAAAATGATAATCACAACAATTTTGATAAATCGTTGAATTTTTAGAAACATGTAATGCACAGTCGATCATGTTCATTTCATTTTTCGTAGCCAAAAGAAATTGTAAACATGATTGGTATTCAGTTCATCGTGTGACCTAGGTATTGTGAATGGTAACCACTTCAATCATTTCACCACACAGTCATACTAACGACAGCCCCCTGTGTTTTGTGTCCCCTCAGGGTTGCCGTCCGCCATGTTAAGGTAAAGCCCAGGTGCGCGGTGTTGACCATGCTAAAGCGCCTGGACAAGATCCGCTTCAGAGGCCCCAGGACGAGAGAAGACTTCCCGGATCTGGCCGAGTCGCCGCCCGCCTCCGACAACGAATGTAGCGACGAAGTGCAGCTGAAGCCCAGACCATCTCTGCGGGAGACGGAGGAGATCCTGCGAGACCCTGTGAGTGCTCAACGTGTGTGTGTGTGTGTGTGTGTGTGTGTGTGTGTGTGTGTGTGTGTGTGTGTGTGTGTGTGTGTGTGTGTGTGTGTGTGTGTGTGTGTGTGTCATTTGCAGTTTCTTGGAAAAGCGGGATTATGATCTTTTTTTTCTCTCTCAGTTCCCTCTTTCTCTCCTCTTTCGCTTGATGTCTTTGACTGTCCCTTTTGAGTAAAGGGTTATCTCTCTTTTGTCTTCATTACACATTTAACCTTGACAGGCAGCGTTTCTTTTCAAATCTACACACAAATTTTTCTGTCAGTAAAGAATGCTCTGCCCTCAGTGTGACTCCAGAAAAACAACAACAAATCAGCGATGGAATATGCAGTAGCTGCTTTTTCAAACGTTCTGTTGTTGGAGGATCCTAAACTAGCTTAATGCATTTTTAGGAAACTTGGTTATTTTATTCAAACCCACTTAGTTGTTACTTGGTAGGGAGGAAGTGATGCAAGGAAGGGTTTTCATTATAAAGATATATGGAGGAGATGAAAGCAATACAGAGACATGGAGACATGGAATAGAGATGGCAATAAACAGCAGACTAGAGCAGAAATGGTGAAAGCTGTGGTGAGATGAACACATTGGATCCAGGGAAGGGATTGAAAATAAAAGCGGAGGAAAGATTAAAAAGTGATAAAGGAGGCTAGAGGGCCGTGATCGAGCCTCTGAAGATTGGCATCTGAGGAGTCTAGAGGGGAGGAGACGGACGAGATGAACTGGAAATGATGAGAAAGGAAAAACTCACCAGCCTCGACATGAAAATCAGATCATGTTTTCTTGAAATCTCTACTTCCCACGCATGGTACTGTTCATATTTCATGAAATATTTTACTCTGTCTTATCTTTGTGGCTCTGTAAAACAGCCGAAATGTCGCTACCATCATGAACATGGAGTGATGGGAAGAATGGAATGGAAACACAGATTAGACCAGATAATTATATCATTTCCTGAATGAAGACAATACCGATCTCTGCCTCACTTTCTTTCTTTGCAAGTCATCAAATAAACATCTGTTGCTGTTGAGTGTAAGTCAGTGATCTAGCTGGCCATTTTTGCATATTCTATCCATTCTACATGCATGCACAGACTTGTGCCTTCGGTCACGCACAGACAGGTGTATGTGTGTAGTCTGTATGTTTTCACCTGCGTTAAACCCATCCCACTGGAACAACATCGGCTACATCACGGTGCTGATGACTCACACTTTGTAGCCTCAAAATAGACCAAGCTAGCACCCATCCCTGCTGGGAAACCCACGCCACACACACACACACACACACACACACACACACACACACACACACACACACACACACACACACACACACTCACACAGCATTCTGTTGCATTTAATATAGAAAAGCTGCCTCCCTGTTGGCTGAACTCTCATATTCCCTGCCTTTCAGAAGTCCCAGACACAGTCCGGCGGCACCAGATTCAAATAACCTGCCTCTGAACGTCACCTTCATTACCTCATACGGTAAAAGGGAGACAGAGTGTGCCCTTGTGCTGCATGCACTGGGACCTTTTGACAAACTAGCCGGTGACGTCCATACTAAATAGGCTGAATATCACCGGGCAGATGGTGTTTAGTCGTTGCACAGACAACTGCATGCAACCTCACTGGCCTCTGCTGCTCCATCAGGTGGCTGCCTCCCTGCATTTGTGGTACTTAGTATCATCTCCCTCATTATCTATAGTACATGCAGACAGGTAATGTGCAGGTTAGGGCAATGCTCAATAATAACGTAGGAATAAACTCTAACGTTGCTACTAGGATTTTACAATCCTATAGAAATATCATAAACTCAATTACTGTGGTTGTACAATGAATAATGAGCAACATAGATATAAATGTATTTCTAGATTCTTTCTTGTTGAATGGATACATTTTATTATTTTAATTCCCATAAAGCTACAATACCATTTATTTAAACGAATATTACGATGCGACTCAGCCAACCATCAGTGCTGAGCTGCCGTTTAATTTGCAGCTCGGTGCAGAAGTCAGTGTTCTCAGTGGGTCATTAATGCTCGAGCCTGTCATCGTATCCGCAGAATTTAAGACTAATTCTCTTATCAGTTTCATCGTCAGGGCCAAGCAACAACTCTATAATGGCAAAAAAACGAAAATCTTTAACAGTTCTGGATAGAAATGTCTCAATTTTGTAGCAATCTAAAGTTAAACCGCATGTTGTTTCTAATGGGGTTTGCATGTATCCACCACAGCGTACATAAGAAATAGATCAACCACATAGATTTTCTGCCAGCTTGCAATACAGAGCTGTGGATTGCAGCCTTGCAGCTGATGCCGGATGATTGTCTTTACCATGAAGACTGCTGCAAACCTCCCTGGTGGTGATTCTTTGTGCTTGGGTTTTCTATTTATCTACTGTTTTTAAAGTGATAATATTTGAATGTTCAAATGCAGCTGGTTTGCCCCGTTGGTTTAGTATCTGCAACATACCTGACGTCTTCTTGGATAGTGTGGACACAACAAAAAGTCAGACAACTTCAGTGTTTACAGGAAATCAGTTTTGTTGGCGAGAAAGATGTATGGTTTCTCAGAAAAGTGAAAGTAGAACAGGCAGTTAAGATAAAATAATATGTGTCAAGAAACTAAAACCACACTGTCAGAATTTCATTGCATCAGCAGAAGATTTGTCCGTATCTCTAAAAGCTTTTCTTGTATATTTATCTCAATTCAACTGTTATGTAGCACAGGGGTTCCCAAACTTTGCCATGCCAAAGACCCCCATATAGCATTATGCTCTGGCGGGGACCCCCCTGTTGCATTTTTTTTTTTTTAAATGATGTGTACAAGTGCCTCGCGATGGAGCATGCAGTGTGTTGCCACTACATTTGGGACCTTCTGCCTGATCGAAGCTGTCACTCCGCTTTTTTTGCCTGTCATAGCCGCACTGCCCCATCTGAACACACACCCACACAACGAGACCAGTCACGTCCGTTTGAGATGATGTACTCATCTAAAACTTGGAAAATGTCTCTTCATGTCTTCCTACCTTCCAGTGCTTTGCAAAATAATATTTCCTCAACAAAGTTGTCTTCTGAAATAAATCTGATATCAATGCAAGCAATTCTGCAACAGTTGCTACATCCGTGCTCTCATCCAGCTGCAGAGCGAAACATTCACTAGCTCTCACTTGCTCCAAAAGCTGAGCAGATACTCAGTTTCACTCTCAGTAGCGGTAGCTCGATTCTGATTGGCTTGAAGGGCGGTCGTGTGATTCTAAAACAAAAAATATTAAAAGATTGGCATCAAAGGACACATAGATTGATTGATATACAGTTATTAATTAAAAAAAAAGAAAAAGAAAAAGTAAACTTAAAAGAAAAAAATCCTGTTTCCCTCAAACTTCGCGTGACCCCACTGGCACCCCCCCCGGGGGGTCGGGGCCCCCACTTTGAAAAACGCTGATGTAGCATAAAGACATGCAATAAACACTAGATTCCATCATATTATTTTACTTGTATTTGTACATATATGTGGTCTGACTTGCGTTTTCTGTGACAGCCCGATATCTTTGTTAATTCTTGGTTGATTTAACAACTTCCACCAGCCTGCTAGAGCAACAATTTGGCAAACATGGGAAAGGGATCCTGTGGTTTTGTGTTTTTTACGAGGAAAAACAAAGTTTTGAAATGGCACCTTCTCTACTGCCCTTCCCGCTGTGAGACACATCGAGCATCATGAGAAAGTTTCAGGCTCAGCAAGCACACGCCTTTTCCCAACAAAGGAGAAAGTATGTGAGATCCCTCGAGCTCATCTTTCTCTAGGATAAACCAGACATTTCTGTGTCAGGCCTGCACTGAGGCAACCCCACAAACATTGTGCTTCTAGAGGCCGAGGACAGAGACAAAGTAGAAGAAGAAGAAGAAGAATGGATTGAGGATAAAAAAGATGACTGAGGAGTAGGGCTGCAACAAACGACTAATTTGATAATCGATTAATCTATCGA